TGACTTATTGACTTTTTCTATAATGTAGATACATTTTTTAATATTCACAACTTTCTGTATTGTTCACTTTACGAATCCAATCTCGCTAAAATCTCTTTCTATATTAAGATGCAAATGTTTTCTTTGCAGCGATCATTTGATCGCTCATGGTAGGAATAGGTATACATGAAATGTCGGTAGGTTTAGTGTTAACGTCTCCTCGGCATGAAAATGAAACGCACACTTTGCGGTAAATTGCACGCTCGGCGATATTTGTCTTTTACACGACGCCATCGAGAAGTTGTTGAGAGGATGGGACAGGGATAGTTTTGACAAAGTTTCGAGGTTTGCTTACGTGGAAATCCTTGGCCCATAAAGTGGCGTGCATACATGCACACCGTGACCTTGTCTTTCTTGTCCACAAACTTATCTATTGTCTCCACTCTGGGAACGTTTCTCGTTTATCATCATTTATATTCGAGGAAAAGAGGAGGGGAGGGCCGAACGATCGCGCCAAGATCGGGATCCAACCCACTTTTATATCGGGATTTAAAAGAAGAGGATGTCCTCCTCTGCGCCGAGGGAAAAGTTGGCGGACAGTTTATCGACAGGGAGTGTACGGGTGGAAAAATCGAGGACAACCGGTTACACACGCCCGTGAATTCATGGCCCGCGCAACGATGGAACAAGTATTGTTCCGCTATGCGAAAAAAAAAAGTGGGATAAAAATGGATCACCACGATCGGGCTTCACCCGATTTATCGGCCCGATAAATTCGCGATAGACCCCTCCCCCCACTCGCGAAGGAATGCTCGATGGAGGATCTCTAAGTGTAAACGCACACCGATAAAAATAGAAAAAGTGGGGAAGGCGTTGGCGTTGCACAGGTGTTAGTCGATGACGATGCGGGGGGAGGAAGGAAAAAAAAGGAGAGAAAGGGTGGGAAAAAGGAGAGAGCGTGGTTAGATCGATACGCGTGTACCGGGTGGGATGGTGAAAATGGCGATAGGAATTTTATTTTCTTCGTTTAAAGAAATTTTCTTTGTTGATTTCGAATGATTTAATTGACGGATATCTGATTCGCTTTTAGCTAATAAATGCATCGGAAAGAATTTTATTTTGTTAATCGAGGGCAATTTCAATTCACGTTCGAGAATAATATTCGAAAACGAATGTTTGAACGAAACACGATGGCGTTCTTTTTTTATCGACTAATTTTCTTCTCGCTCACCAATTATCCATTGGTAATTTGAGAGACACCTTGTATATGGACGTGCGCGAGAGACGCTGTTTGAAAGCCGCTACGAAACAAACGATCGCGGCACAGAACATCGTGGAGGATTTCACAAAGCTGGAAATCGCGAGCAAGACGTGAGAGCAGGCCTACTGTTTTTGCTTTGATCCTCGGCTCGTTGAACGGTGAATGATCGGTCTAGAATTATACACGGTCCGAGTGGCCATGTCGGGTGCGCCACGTGATCGTGTCGTCGCTGGTTGCTCTTATTCAGGCGCTGGATTACGCACAAAGCGCATGGATAATTACACGTTGTTGTCGCCCGTGAATTTTCCCTGGCTCTCTTTCTCTCATTCTCGCTTGGCCTCTCACTGTTGGCCTCGAGTTTCGCCATCTATCTCTGTAATTTTTCGATCCCCTCTTGTCTTCTTTCCGTCTTCAATTCGTTCCTGTCGTTTCTTGACCTAGTTCGAACGCACGTACAATGAACGCATGAATAATTACGAGAAACGTTTGTTACTCCAATTCGTGCTTCCTTTCATGCTTAATCCATTGATATAGTTTTTTTTCTTTTTCTAATCTCGCGTTATCTTATTTACCTTTCTTTCGATATTCTCTCAACATGCTCTTCGATCTAGTTTGATTTCTCGAATATGAAAATTGATATCGTGCGGATATCGTCGTTAACGCATGAAAAGTTCATTAAAATCACGTTTCGTTTGGAAACACGCAAGCAGCAGCGTTGCGCTTGCAGCGGCGATTTCATTGTTATCACGATTCTATGGCCCTTTATACAAGGATTCCCTTGTTATTGTTCTTTTTCCTCTCGCAGAATAGCTGTGTTTAAACGGCATGAATAAAAGGTGTTTTCTTTCCTTCTCTCTCTCTTTTTTTTTCCCTCTCTTTTTACGTTTAGCCGATTTATATCGAGTGCACAGTTTGCCCTATATTCTCACGACTGAATGGCCCGGTATTTTTGTAGAGACCTCTATTGAAATTCGATCGGTGCCATCACTCGGCTGAAGTAACGAGCCAAAATTAACCCTATCCGGGATATGACACCACATCGCTCTACGCGAGTTTCCAATGGATGTCGAGTGTCAATTCCAAAAAAAAAAAAAAAAGAAAAGAGAGAAACGATTAAACAAAAAGAAAGAAAGAAAGAATAATTTTCTTCTCGTTTCAAATCGTTCCAAATCAACGTGCTCGCCAGATGCTTAGCCCAATCTCCGAGATTTTTTCCCCGATCGACGAGGAGGAAAATTAAATCGATCCCCTTTCTTCCCACCCCTATCCGTTTCCACGATCGAGAAACTGGCCGGCTGGGCGGGTCGTGACTCGTAAGAGAAAGTCTGGTTTCGCGCTACCAAGAGGAATCGGAAACCGACGGTGACGAGGATGCTGGAGGAGGGAAGTGACTCTCGATCCGACGGTGGCTCGTCTCGAAAGTAGGGCGAGCCACGCCTAAGAGACCGGCTCTCGGCCTCTCTCAGATGCGTGCACCGTATATATGGCGAGCACTTTGTCCGTGTTGCACTTTTCCCTCCGTTTTCAAGCGGTCCCCCGGGAACCTCCGAGTGCTACGCCTCTATTTCGCGAAATTTACGATCGTATCGCCGTAGAAACTATCGAGAACCATCTCTCCCCGCAACCTTGTTTCTTCTCCTCTCGTCTGTCTTTGTTTGAACGCGCGCGCGTGTGTGTGTATCGAAACACACGGGATCAGAATTCATACGATTTCAACGCCGACCGTTTCGAAAGATCATCGAAGAACGGAACGGTTATCTCGTTGAACCACGTTCGATCGTGTACTCGTTTCGGGGTCGACGCGACACGGGGTTAAATTGAATTTGAGAGCGGGCCGATCTTTACATTCGTTCATGGAAAAATCTGATTAGGCTAATAGCATTTGTATGAGGAGGCGGAAGTTGTGAAAAAAAAAAGGGGGCTATCGATCCGTCACGTGGATTGCGCGTGTTCCAATGACGATTTATAGAGCCGCCCTGGTTCTGGTTTTTTTCTTGAAAACGTACATTAATGTACGGAAAATCAAGTTTTGAGATCGGGAGAGATTATATATGAATATATATGTCGTAAATAAACGTCATTTACGATAAAATTTCCCAACGAAGATAATCGATCGCAAAGTTTAAAATTCACAAGAATTAATTTTAAACAAGACACACGAAAGAGAAGTTGAATCTTGTCGTTGATCAACCACGCGATAATTCGGCAGGCCAAGCCCGGATAGATATTCGATCCCTTAAATTCGAAACAGCAATCGAAAAGCGACCCTCTGTTGTCTCGATTGCAACTCGATTCGATCGATGCCGAATCCTTTCATGGATCTCGAGCGGATTCGAGATGACAAATGGCGCTCGAGGGGGTGAATTTAAAGCCAGCGAAGAAGCTGTCGAGCAAACGGAACGGAATTAAGCTGTACGTTTTGCGTGCGGAATGGCGGTTGGTTGGCGGCGTTAGATATGCGACTCGATTCAACGAAAACCTTTATATATATATATATATATATACATACGTATGCATAGGTGTACATCCGATTTGCCACCTAATCGCGAATGTATTCGAAGTCGCGGCGGCACCGGTGTCGACTGCCACCGAAAGCTCGAGGACAAATAGAAGCTTGAGCTGGCGACCTCTCTGCATAATGCATACCATCGTCGTCGTCGTCGTCGTCGTCTCGTTCATCGTTGTTGCCGCGCTCGTTTCAGTCGGAGGTCCTTCAACGTTTCTCCTTCGTTAGCCTTTTATCTCCTCCCTTCGTTGCCTTTCCTCCTCCTCCTCCTTTCCTCCTCGAATGTCTGGCCTGATACCACCCCCTCCTCCTCCTCCTCCTCCTTCCGCCCCGGATGGAGGAAGCCGCGCATGTATAAGTTCGTCCGTGGAAAAAAGAACAAAGACACTCGTGACACCGTTCTGAGCCCACCGTTGCGCCATCCCGGCGTTGTTAAGAACTGGCGAGATTTTTAAGAAATGTCTGCATTTTTAACGCGAGACCACGTGAGAAACTTTTCCCCTATCGCGACAAACAGGATCCTTTCTGTCGTGGAATTATGGTGTCACCGAGTTCACTTTTGCCATCGTTTCTTTCTTCTTTTCTTTTTTTTTTTTCTTTTTTTCGTTTTATTCGAACGAGCGAATTTCTTGTTTCTCGAAGATATAGGAGAAAATGGGGGGAACGTTTCTTTCTATCTTCTCTCTTTTAAATTATTCTTTATATACTTGTGGTATGATGACGATAACGATAGTTTGGTGTGGTTATAATATTGAAATAATAAATGTTTAAATTTTGGATATACGACGTGATATATCACAAGGAGAAAGGAGAATTTTTCTTTTTTAATCTAATAGGCGGAATTAATTATATCGTCGAATTGTTGTTATTGCGTCGATATTATTTCTTCAACATTATTGCTGGATTTCATCTCGGCGGCACATTTATGAGAATGAACTGGGTAACTTCTTCTTTCAAGTTCCTCTTCACGGTAATAAAGTGAGGAGGGACCTAGATTCCAGCAAAGCTCTTTAGGCGCACTGCTTTGAAGTTGGATAATTAAGTATTATGTCATATGATAAAGTGTTTATATCCCGATGTTTTTTAATCTTAGATATTGAGAGATTAATTGACTCGAGCGAGTTGGAACTTAAACTTTAAAGTAATATCGAATTTTAACCAATAAAAACAAATATTTACCACTTTTTCCATTCTTCGATTTTCGAACGAAACTTCGATAAATTTTTCTCATTTTTTCTTTTTTTTTTTTTCCAGGAATGACGATCGGTGCGGCGATGACGAGGATTGAAAGCTACCGCTGATTCATAGGATACCCTGCAGGGCCACTCGCTACCAAAATGAGCACATCGCTGCGAATTTTGGCGCTAATCAGCTTAGCTGCGCAGAACGTGGCTTGGCCGCAAGATCCGGTTCCTAGGCTGCATGTCAAACATCGTCAGTAATATTCGCTATATAATTGCTGCATTGGTTTCTTAATTTAGAAACAATTAGAACCATTTATCGTGCTCAGTACGAATTGAAAACAAAAGTCTCGCTTCTATAATTACTTTAATTTTGAAAGGTTTCATTTTTTTTTAATTATAAGTCGGAAAGAAATGGACGAAAACGAGCAGAAATTTTGTTTCAATTTTATACAGGGTTTAAATTATGTTGAATTTTATTTACTTGCGCATAAAAATATTTGGAAAAATGATATTTTGAAATATCAGTTTGAGAAATTGAATTGTTCGCTTTGTCTGTCGGTTAATGGATTCGATACACGCGTGAAATTAATTTCTTTATTTTTGTGACAAGTTATTTTGCGCTCTTTGTAACCACTATGTATTTGTTACATCCGCGAAATTATTTTTCACGCGAAAAGCGAGAAAAACGACGCTATATTTTTAATCTCTATTTTACTCCAACTATTATAACACAAGGAAAAAAACGAATTGGAAAAATCATTGGAAGATTATTTTTAAAATTATGTTCGAATCGTTTTCGAATTTCAAAATTTTATTATTACAAATTATCATACGAGTTGAATAATATTATTTTTCATTCGAAATATTACTAAATTGTTCGTTGTATTTTTTCTTACTTCTGTTCACGTGTAAATGGTTCTAATGAAATTTAGATTTTAAGAATTCTAATTTTCTATCCAATTTCGAATCGAAAGATTTGTGGAAACTAATAATTTTCTAATTTCATCATCATTCCGATTCGCCTTTATCTTTATCGCGACGAAATCTTTCTATATTTTTATACCAAAAATTCGTTCGATTCGCCGGATGCATTATTAGAAAGAGGAACGAAGGCGATTATCAGCGCCGAGATAAAAGGGCGCAAAAGTTATTTCGGCATTTTTATCGTCGCATTAATGATAATGTATCGCTTAATTCGGTTCATCGGCCGCCTTTGGCCGTGCGAGAATTTAATGAAACGAAGGCCGCCATGCTATTTTATAGATGTATCGAATTATTAAATTGACACACGTTTTAGAATATATATATACACACACACACATATACGCGTGGATATTAAATTAAGATTAATCAAATTAATCGATCAAGAGCCATCAAGAGCCGAGGTGTGTGCATTTTACGCAACCACGCTCCGCGCATTTATTTCACGTCATTAACTCGCCGATGCTCGAAATAATCGCGCGTACCAATTTGCTCTCTCTCTCTCTCTCTCTTCGTAGAATCGATTTCCCTCCTTTCCTCCTCCCCTCCTTTTTTCCCCTTTCTTCTTCAACGCGCTTTCATCCCGCAGAATACACTTGCCAATCGAGCAAATGCATCTCGGCTGAAAGGCGTTCCCTTTTAGAAAGTAGAAAAGAAAAAAAAAGAAAAAAAAAGATATACCTTCGAAAAAGTTTCACGCCTTCCTAAAATTAATTTCGTCGATTAACGACCGCGTTTCCGGTGGACGAGGAAGGCTTCCGGCTCTCGAATTCGTTCCGCTTCATTACTATGACAGATTATCGGGGAACAATAAGGCACGTTTCGCGAGGGGGAGGGTTTCTCGATCGAAAAAGGTCGACTCGATTCAATCGTCCTCCTTTTTCGTGGCGCGAAAGGGGATACTTTTGTTTCAAAAAAAAAAAAAANANANANANANANANANANANANANAAATATATATATATATATATATAT